GCTGATGTGCCTGGGAAAGCAACAGCAGATGGCCCAAGTGCTTGGGACCCTGCCACTCACCTGGGAGACCTGGATGGGTTTTCCTGGCTCCTGGCTTTGGCCAGGCCCAGCCACTTGGGGAGTGAACCAGTGGATGGAAGATATCTTGCTCTCTCTCTCTCTGTAAATTTGCCTTTCAAAATATAAAATGAAATTTTAATTAAGAAAAATTATACCTCTTAGCTGGGCCAGGTCCACACAGGATTGCTTTTGTCCTTTGTCTTGAGTTGCGTTTTTGCACTGAGAAAGTGCTGTACCCTTGGCTCACTTCTCCAGCGATTTCTTTATGAGAAACTCCTGCAGTGGAGCCCATGGCTCCGAAGAGAAGTACTTTTGAGACCCCTGAAAGCTTGCACCAGTTTGCCGTCTCCCAGGAGTGTGAGTGGTTTCTGGAGGCATCTCTGGCCTTATTTGTCTATAAGCATCCCTTCCCTGTCAACTTTCTTTTTTTAATGAAAAATTTCAACATACAGAGATGTTGAAATCACTGTAGGGTGAGCATCCAGATCCCACGCTGCACATTTTGCAATTGTTGTTCTATCTGATATCTACCATCTGTCAATCCATCGCATTTCCTGGCTGCATTCCCAAGTAAATGGTGAACCTCAGTACCCTCTGCGCCTCCTTCCAGGGCTGTCTTTGGAGGCTCCCAGCAAGTGTGGACGTGGGAGAGGGTGCTGACCCTGCATCTCAGGGTCCTGCCTCTTGGTGAAAGAGAGCCATTGAGGAAGGTCGGAGTCTGTGGCCCCGGGGCACTGGGGCCTGCCTGGGAGCAGGGCAGTTGCTCCAGTGCACTGAGCTTGTGTTTTTCTTTTAAGTGAGGCGGAGTCCAGCTCTGTGTGCGGTGCTGCAGGGTGTGCAGTAGCTGGCATTGCCTAGCGCAGAGCATAAGCTTAATACATGGATACACACAGTTTCTTGTATTGTTTTCGCTAGAACAGACTGACAGTGTGTGCTGAACTGTTGGAGGTAATATTTCTTTTTTTTTTTTTAAAGATTTATTTATTTATTTGAAAGGCAGATTTATAGAGAGGCAAAGGGGGAGGGCGGGGGGAGAAAGGTCTTCCATCCTCTGGTTCACTTCCCAAATAGTCGCAACAGCTGAAGCTGAGCCGATCTGAAGCCAGGAGCCAGGAGCTTCTTCCAGGTCTCCCACGTGGGTGCAGGGGTTCAAGTACTTGGGCCATCTTCTACTGCTTTCCCAGGCCATAGCAGAGAGCTGGATCAGAAATGGAGAAGCCGGGACTCGAACCAGTCCCATATGGGATGCTGGAGCCGCAGGTGGTGGCTTTACCCACTACACCATATCTCTGGCCCTGGGAGTACCATTTCTCACAGACCCTCAGGACTGGGTGGTGGATAATTTCTGATTCATCTTTTTGGCAAACATATCGTTTATCCACATGTTGTACCTTTCTTTTTCCCTTCTTCAAACTTGGGGCAGGGAAATGTTAACAAAAATCCTCAAAGACCAAATACTACCCCAGGGTGTCAGACAGTCAGGAACGTTGCATGCTGAGCGTGGGTCTCTGGATGAGAGTGTGTCCCACCCGGTGCTTCTTCTCTTCTCTGGCCTTGAACTGCCTTGTGCAGCCGTAGCCATCTGCCGCCTGTCTACGACACTCCAGCAGGACAGGGCCCACCACGGAGGTGGGAAACACCTGGCCTCAGGACCCACGCTTCCCTGCTCTGGCCCCTCCCCTCCCTCGTTGGGAGACCTGGATCTCTGATTTGTTTCTTCAGGTTTTTGTTGATGCCCCAGTGCCTAGATGATTGGCAGCATGGCCCTGGCAGGGAGACCCCCGTGGGTGAGGGTAACACGCGAGGGAAGGAAGTCCGGTACATCGCAGGCCTTTTTGTAGCTGGAACTACAGCCCACTGAGAGCTTTACACACACGTGCGAAAATGGAACTGCAAAGCATTTGTGTTTGCGCATAAGCCATGATGACTGCAAAATTCACAGCAGAAAGTCCTGAAACACATTCACAAGGATTTCCCAGGGTGCATGGCTATCGTCACTCTGTGTCCCCAGAATGGAGCAGGAGACTTTCTCTGGGGCTCGTAGGGAACCCGGAGCTGCAGGGTGAGGGAGGAGAGCAGCAGGGGCACCCCTGCTCAGCCATGTCCCTGCACCTGGGGCCTCTGGGGCTGCCCGCTCAGGGCCTTTCACCATCGCTGCTGTGAGCTCCTCCTCCAGCAGCCCCGTGCTTTCTCCGAAAGTGGCTGGGCATGACCCAGCAATAAAGTGGCTGGCAGTGATTATTTGAGAAAGCACATTCCTCATTTCAGAGCAGATAGCTATTATCAACCTAGATAATTTCTCTGAGTCCTGAAATAGATTTGGCCCACCAGGCAGGGCGTCCACGTGTGACACAGTGGAGGGGAGCCGGCTTGCTGGCCCTGACCCATGTGCCTTTAGACCACGGCTACAAGCCAGAGGGTACTCCCGCTATTCAGAAGTCAGGCAGAACTCGCTGGCAGGCATCCAGGACTTTTCTGTGGGTCTCAGGTTGGGGGTGTGCACGTTGAAATCCCAGTCTCCTCAGCTCCTGAGTGAAGGGGACAGTAGCACCGGGCTCACAGAGGAGTGGAGTACCATGTGTCCCTGTCCCCTTTCCTCTCAGTTGCATCTATCAATGCAAAGTGAAGTGAGGTGGAGTGTATGGGTCACATCTCCTGTCACTGTAGCAGTCTCCTTTTTCAGGTTAAATATCCCTTATCTGAGACCAGGTGTGTTTCGGATTTCAGAGTTTTCAAGTTTGGGGATATTTGACATTCCAGGATATTAGATTTTACAGTTTAGCTTCCCTAATTTGAAGATACAAAATCCAAAATCCTCCAGAATCCAAAATATTTTGAACCTCATCCTAGTGCTCAAAACGTGTGATATCTGGGCCAGCACCAGGATGCAGCAAGTTAAGCTGCTGCTTCTGATGCTGCCAACATCCCACAACTGGGAGCTGTTGGAGTCCCGGCTGCTCTGCTTCTGATCCAGCTTCCTGCTAATGTGTCTTAAAAAGTGCTTAATTTATTCATTTAACAAATTTTAAAAAATTATTTATTTTCCATTATTTGAAAGGCAGAGAGACAAAGACAGAGATCACATCCCAGGTGCCTGAAGCCAGGAGCTGGGAACTCAGTCCAGCCCTCCCGTATGGGTGGCAGGGACCCAACTATGTGAGCCATCACCTGCTGTATCTCAGGGTACACACGAGCGGGAAGCTGGATTAGAAGTGGAGGTGGGACTTGAACCCAGGCACTCTGATATGGGATGCACCGACATGATGCTCAAACCACCTGCGCCAAACCTCCTCCTCTTAACAGAAGATTTTTGAGCGTCGCTATATGTCAGGCACTAAGATGAGCAACCTGCAGTGCCCGAGGGGGTCACATTCTACTGGCAGAGATGGATGTACACGCCGGGGGTCACTGTGTGATAGATGAGACAGTGGAGAAGGGCAGGGGAGCCATGGAGGGATCCAGAAGGAGCACATCCCTCAGCTTGGGGTGTTGTGCAGGTGGAGTTGGAGTGGAAGAGGAATTTGGGTAAAGGAAACAAGCTGGAATAAAGACACAGAGCCGAGAAACATGGTGGTTTCTTGCGAGACCCTTATGCCGGTTAGTGCTGCTGCAGTGTGGAGGGTTGAGGCTGGAGGGGCAGGAAGGGGCCCGATTCAGTCAGTGGCCTGCAGAGATGGGGGTGGGCAGGTATTCACACTTGGAACAACCAAACAGTTGAAGGGCAGAGCTCCTGGTGGGAGGAACTGTACTTGTCTAAGGACAGAGGTGATAGGGCTGTAGGGGGGAGCGGGGTGGGGGTGGGGGGATTTAGAACTGAAGGCTGGAGGATTGGAGGAAGGGAGAATGAGGAGGCAGGGGCCAAGTGTGACAGGGTTCCACCTCTGCTGTGTGGGGCTCTGCTCATGGCCCCGCTCTTTCTGGAAGCCTTTTCTGACCTTTGGTCCAAACTTTGCCGTATAACTCTGGCTCCGGTTGCTTCTACCCATTACGTTGGCTGAGTATTGTTCTCAAACGTGTTTTGCTTTCCTTGCTACTGGGAAGCTCATAAAAGGTAGGGATTGTATTTGATCCATATTTTGGGTATAATTTTAGGTATTTGATTTGATCTATGACTACATAGTATTATTGGGACTTAGCAATTAATTTTTTTAAGGATTTATTTACTTGAAAGGCAGAGTGAAAGAGAGGAAGAGACAGAGAAAGAAATCTTCCATTTGCTGGTTCTCTCCCCAAATGGCTGTCAGAGCCAGGGCTCAGCCAGGCTGAAGCTAGGAGCCTGGAATTTCATCGTGGTCTCCCATGTGGGTGGCAGAGACCCAAGAACTTGGGTAATCTTTTGCTGCCTTTCTGGGCATATTAGCAGGGAGCTGGTTTGGAAGTAGAGCAGCTGAGATTTGAACTGGCACCCATTTGGGATGCCGGCATTGCAGATGGCATCTTAAGCAGTTGTGTCACAGTGCCAGCCTTGACTTTAAGTAGTTTATTCCATGTATCTCTGATTTTTCTCCCAAGAGGGGAGGTTGAAGTGAACATGACTGTCAAATGGAAGATGTTCTTCATCTAGAGAAATATGGGGGGACTTCAGAAAGTTCATGGAAAATTAGATTAAAAGACAGGTGGGTTTATTTTGGCATTAAAACATAAAAGTAAAAAATAAACCCATGGATAGTTTTTTTTTTTCATAACACACATTTTCCATCAACTTTCTGAAGTATCCTTTTAGATTTGTGACCTGTGGAGCCAAAAGGAATTCAAAGAGTCAGATACACCAAAATCATCCAAAAGACATTTAAGGGTACCGTGTTTGCCATTTATTCCTGGAAACCACGGCTCAGGAACAACTCCTCTGCTGGGCTGGCCGTCTCCAACCTATATAGCCTCCTTGGGGCAGGACTGGCCGCTGTTTCTGTGTGGTTCACGTCTGTGCTTCCCCCCCGCAGGTCCAGAACCCAGCACCCGGTGTGAGCTGTCACCTGTCAATGCCTCGCATCCTGTCCAGGCGTTGATGGAGAGCTTCACCGTCCTGTCAGGCTGCGCCAGCAGAGGCACGACTGCGCTGCCGCAGGAGGTGCACGTTCTCAACCTCCGCACCACGGACCAGGGGCCGGGCCAGCCACAGAGAGAGGTAGGCGCGGGTGTCAGCCGTCGGTTCAGTGCTCCTGTGGGTGTGCACGGATGATTTGCAGAGCAAAGAGTCCTTCTGGGGTTCGGAGAGGCTGCTCGCATAGGAACACAGGAGCAGGGTGTAAAGTCATGGATTGTTTAACCTTGGGCTTCTCTCTTTAGAAATGACTTAGAAATATCATATTTAAAATTTTTTTTTATTAACTTTGAAAGAGTAACAGATAGCGGAGGAGGGACAGAGAGAATCTTTCATCTACTAGTTCACTCCTCAGATGGCTACAATGGCCAGTGCTGGACCATGCCAAAACCAGAACCTTCTTTGGGTCTCTCATGTGGCTGGCAGGGCCTGAGGCACTTGGGCCATCTCCTGCTGCTTTTCCCAGGCTGTAAGCAGGGAGCTGGATTGGAAGTGGAGCAACCAGGACACAAGCTGATGCACATATGAGATGCAGGCATCACAGGCATTACCCGCTATGCCATAGTGCTGGCCCCCAAAATGTCATCTTCTATTTTTAAAATTTTTATTGTGTTTTTTTAAAGATTTTTTTATTTATTTGGAAAGCAGAGTTACAGAGAGAGAGAGAGGGAGGGAGAGACAGAGAGGTCTTCTATCTGCTGGTTCACTCCCCAAATGGCCGCAATGGCTAGAGTTGGGCTGATCCAAAGCCAGGAGCCAGGAACTTCTTCGGGTCCCACATGTGGGTGCAGGGGCCCAAGCACCTGGGCCATTTCCAGTGCTTTCCCAGGCCATTAGCAGGGATCTGGATCAGAAGTGGAGCAGCTGGTACTTGAATTGGCACCTATACGGGATGCCAGCATCACTGGCCATGGCTTTACCTGCTACGCCACAACACTGGCCTCAGAATGTCATCTTTTAAATGTAATTGTGAGAAATCAAAATAATCTGAGTGTAAAGTGTCTTTCCCATTCTCTGCTGTGCCATCTCTTTCTTCTTTTTTTACTTTCTTACAAACCAGTTGTTCCTGCTGGACAAGTCCAGAGGATTGGGAACACTCTGGAATAAAGTGGTATCACTCTGCCCTCACAGGAAGGGCACCAAGGGGAGCTCCTTCTCGCGGTCCAGGCAGCCACACACAGGGCGTGGTGGGCCTGGTGGTGATGGTGGCAGAGATGATAGGAACTCCAGCTACTCCGTATTTCCTCTGTGTGCAGCACTGTTTGAAGCACCCATACCTAACCCCATGAAGTCCTACGATTATCCTCATCTCAGGGGTGACAAAGCAGGCCCAAATTCAACACCATCAGAGGGAAATGATGCCCTGTTTGTTGTTGCTCAAAAATGACCTGGACTGTGGGTGAGTGATCAGCAGGCTTCCTCCCAGGTAGCACACAGCTGTCCTCCTTCCTGTGTTTACGTTTCTGTGTGTCAGAAGGGTTACCACTCAGGGATTCTTTCCCTGGGGAGAACCATGTGAGTCCTGATCACACAGAAATGCAGGAAGAGGAATGCAGAATGCCTTATGTCTTTGAGCTTTTTTCTAGTTAAGAAAAGTTAACTTCCAGAACCGCTTGTTGTGTGCGCCAACCACCCTGCCTTGTTGCTGTTGTTGTTGAGTAGGGGGTGGAGGGTAGGAAATGTCCAGAGGAAAAGCAAGTTGATTTTAATCTGCTGAAAGTGTGCAGAGTCGTCATATTTCAGACTGATATCTAACCTTTCCAGCTACGCTGGAAATTATTGTTAATACTCTGGTTGCTTGCCATTGTTGCTGCAATCCATATGTCAGGTCAGTTCTTGTTATCCCAGTGATGCGTCTTTAATTCTTGAGGTATGGGGGAGAGCTTGCGGTGGGAGGGAAAGGAGGAGGGGAGGAAATGCAGCTCCTACGGAGTGTTGCTGACTCCAGCAATTCCTTTGCAGCAGTAATTACTCATTTTATGTGTGCTCCTTTCCGAGGAGCTGAGGAGGAGAGAAAGCCTGGGCTGTGACAGGAGTAGCGATGGCGTGAAGTTCTGGATGTCAACTTGGTGGACGGTGCTTTTGTTGACACTGAAAATAGACTCAAATAAGACTGCTGGAGCAGAAGACAAATGCCTCAAGGAATGACACCAGAACCCTCCCACCCTGGCACTTACTGTGTTAGATCAAGATGGAATTCATTTTAGGATATGGCAATACTGAGGATGTGTAAAATCAGCTGGCGTCATGGGATGCAGAGTTCAATAGGAAGAGAAGACAGAGGGCCCGGGGAGGATCGGCTCAAACTCATTAAAAACCAGCACATTCTCCTCCTTCAATATTTGGGAAGTACAGGTATGGTTTTGGGCTAGTGATTTGAAGACACTTCTGAAAAATATGCAGCTGTTTCCTTCTTTGGGGACCATCAAGAATTAGATGGTTGTAGTTCCATCCTGTGTGAAAACAAGATGTTGGGATAACTGTCCTTTGGAAGTCTGTTGAATGCTGGAATAATTCTGAAGATATAGCAGACCTCAGAGAGTTCGTGTAGAGGATGACATCAGTACTCCAGAGACAGGACAATGAGAGAATGAAGGAGAGTTTATTTATGGATGATGGCAAGTTGGAAAGAGAGAAGCATTAAATATGACTAACTCTCTTCGTATGTGCAAACTGTTGGGAAGAGTCGTTTGAGCCGTGTAATCCAGCACGTGTGCTTTTGGTTATATATCAGATGGAAGTGAAGATATGTGCCCGTGCAAAAACTTGCCCGTGATATTTATGCCAATATTATTCATAATATTTAAAAAGTACAGACAACCCAAATAACCATCATCTGATGCATGGATAAGTAAATTATCGTATATGCATGGAAAGGCAATAGAAAGGAATGAAATACAAATATACATGAATGCTACAACATGGATCACCCTTGGAAATATGCTGAGTGAAAGAAGAGGGACACAATGACCATATGAGGGGACTTTAAAAAGTTCGTGGAAAAATGGAATTAAAAGATAAGTTTATTTTGGTGCAAAATTTTTGTGAAATCCATGCATAATTTTTCCATGCTATTCATTTTCCATGGACTTGTTGAATACTTTTCATATTATACAAATATAATTCCATTTATATGAGATGTTCTGAAATCAGGCATGTATAGAGACTAAACTTAGGGCTAGAAGGGGGAAGAAGGAAATGGGGTTACTATTAATGGTTACGAGGTATTTTTGGGCAGGGGGCAAAAATGTTCAACAATTTAAGTTGTGGTGAATGTTCTAACTGTTGACTTATCATTTAAATATATGAATTTTATGATATGCGAATTGTATCTCAATAAAGTCATTTTTAGAAAAGATTTGTTTATTTGAAAGGCAGAGTGACAGAGAAAGAGGGAGAGACAGAGAGAGACAAAGAGAAAGAAGGATCTTCTCTCTCCTGGCTCACTCCCTAAATGGCTACAATAGTCCTGGCTGGGCCAAGCAGAAACCAGGAGCCAAGAACTCCATCTAGGTCTCCCACATGAGTGGCAGGGGCCCAAGTACTTGAGCCATCTTATCTTGACTCTCAGTGGAGCAGCTGGAACTTGGACTCAGGCATTCTGATGTGGGATGCTGGCATCATAAGCGTTGGCTTAATCCACTGCACTACAATGCCCACCCTGCACTAAAGTTATTTTTTAGAAAAGTCATTCAACCTCCTAGCATTCTAATTAACTCAACGTTTACCTTGGCCCAGTTCTCTTAAAAGAAAAAAATGATTGCTTCCTCCTCCAACCTGAACTTACCCAAGTCTTTTTGTTCTCAATGGATACCTTGATCTTTATGGATATACTACTACATAGTGCATGCTAAAAATAACAGCTGATCTGTACTGGGGGGAGGGAGGATGGTGGGAAGGCCAGAAGCAGCCTTTGTGTGTAAGTCTCTAATACGAAAGGCAAAATGAAATGCTAAGTGCTGTCCCTTACAAATTGGCAAAGGAATGGCCATGCTGGCTGCAGGCTGTAATTGACAGTGACTCTGGTGATTGCCGCCGTTGCTTCTTTTCATGCCCCCCTCCCCCAAACCCATAGATTTATTTATTTGAAAGAGTTACGGGACTTGGGGAGAGAGAGAGAGAGAGAGAGGGAGGGAGATATCTTCATCTACTGGTTCACTCCCTAGATGGCTGCAGTGGCCAAGGCTGGGTCAAGCTGAAGCCAGGAGCCCAGAGCTTCATCCCGGTGGCAGGGGCCCAAGCACTTGGGCCACCTTCTGCTGCTCTTCCAGGGCTGTTAGCAGGGAGCTGGATCAGAAGTGGAGCAGCCGGGACTGGAACCGGTGCCATATTGCATGCTGGCTTTACCTGCTGTGCTATAGTGCCAGCCTTTGCAGTGTAATGTGAGGTGACGGCTGAATCAGCCCATTGTTCCTCTGCTTGTTGATGCTGAGGGCTCGGCCTTAGGGTCTTTTCCACATCCTCCCTCCTCTAACATTTTACAAAATCCCCAGCTCCCAGGTGCTGGGAGAGGGTTGTTTCTACTTTGGAGGTGACAGAGCCTGACCCGGAAGCAGTCACCACAGCAGGCCGACAAGCTGTGTAGCCGCGGTGTCTCAAGGGCCCTCTGGTGCCAGAACACCGCTTCCCCAGGCCTCCCTTCCCGGTTCTCCTCAGGACAGCCGAGCCCCGGAGTTGTAGCTTTCTTCCGAAACCACACCTCTCATTTGTAATCATTGGTTTGGGAAACAACCACCTGGGAAGTGAGCAGGAAACTGGAGAAAGGCTCCCTGGCGACGCAGGAGGGCAGGAGAGGGTAAGCGGCCCCAAGAGATCAGGTTTGCCTTTCAAAGTAAGCAGGGGCCGGTGTGGTGCTTTCCTTTGCCATCGCTGTAGAAATCCCCTCTCCTCCTGGGGACTCCCGCAGTGGGTGTCCTGGTTCCTGGCACCGGCAGCATCAAGGCTAGGGTGGCAGTTGTGTTGCCCGTCGTCCAGCTTTTACGTGGTGATTGTGCCTTTCCCATGTCCAGGCTGCCTAATCGCGCACTGCTTATGCAACACCACCATTCCATGTGTACCTAGGAGCTAGGGACGTTTGTGTGTAT